CAACAACAACGACAACGAAGATCTGTACCAACCTCGCGTCAGCTTAAGAAGATCAGTTTATAAGATCATATAAATAAATAAGAGAGATGAAGTTTGTCAAAGTGTTTTGTTAAACTTTCAGGGGTGAATCGAGGAAGGAAGAACGATGCAACATTCAGGTGTGCCATTATCCGAAACCATCTTGCTGTCCCCCGTTCAAACTAATGATGATCGAAGGAGAATTTGCGTGCGGTCCTCAGCATGAAGTCGGTTTTCTACTTCGTCATAAGCACACATGCCAATCCTTTTTCTTTTCGCAAAGTGCGAACGTAACCCTAAATTAACCAATCTTCCAGTTAAGCACCTATGTCAAGCATAACAGCATGGCTAACGTTGAAAATCACGAAATCGACGTAGCCAGGTGTAGCATAGTGATTAGAAGTATCCTGTAGTACACACTTTGTCGTTAGTTCGATCACCCCCAGTGCCAATCAAGGCGTCTAACCAAGAGTCGACAAAATGGTGCCAGGCCTGCTACCATAAATCGTTGAATGAGCCAAATATGTATCCAACCACTTCTACGACTCTCGGTGAAGTCCGTTGCAGGGCGCATCTTTGAGGGACTAGCCAACGCTATACGCGTTGTCCCTTATCGCTTCATAGAATTTAACCACCGACATCGGAATGTTCGCTAGCAACGGAGAATTCTGTTGCTCATGACTCATAGCATACCTTCACCTGGCTTACCCACGTGCGCGATTTTACAACGTCGAAGAGCTCTCTGTCAAAGTCCGTCATTTCCACTGTCCCGTAATCGATTTTGCAAAAACTGTACAAAATCGAAAATACTTAGCACTAAGAAGGACCAAATGGTCTGCTTTCCGTTCATCTTCAGTGATCATCTTTCTGTCCATTTACAAATCTTGCCTTCAGCTTCAATTGTAAACTACGCAGGCCCATCTTTCAAAAACATTGCAAAACACAAATTTCAAAACAAGAAAACCTTGGAAACATTGTATTACCATCATAGTCAAAAAATTGGAGTATATCTGGTGTATTTTAATGGGAAGCACGTGTAACGTAGTGGTCAGCGATGCCACGCAGCGCTCACGTGCTCATTGGTCCGATCCCGCGTTGCGGGCTCTTCCGTCCATTTTCCACCAAACCTTTCATTTATCCGGGCTCCGCAAATTGGTGCCAGAGTTTTCTGGTAGGATAGCATCGCCAACTTAAGACATCGATGCACCTTCGCAAGTTACTTTATAGACCACATATGCATTCAATTGCCTTTACCGATGTTCGCTGAAGTCGATAAATCCACGGCGCACCTCTCAGTGATGGATCAATGCCGAAAGTTCTATCCCTTTGTCCTTCATATTTCCATGTAGAGTTCATGCTATATAGATATGTTAAGCACATTACCAAGAATATCTACTTTCAGGTTATTATTCATGCATTTATTGACAGACTAAAAGCAGATAAACAAAAAGGAAAGTTGTCACCGAAGTCAAACAGAAACTTTCGTCCGGATGGTTCTTGAAAGGTACACGTACTTCTGTTTTTAATGCTAAAACACTAGCATCAAAAACTAATGGTATTTCTGTTTCAGACGGAAGTGTCATGTGTTGCTAATCATGAACTGCAATAAAGTTCAAGAAGAAGATAGATGGTGAGAATAAAAAGTTAGAAAACTATATTCAGAAGAAGTTTATAATACCGTTCCTCTCCATGATACAATATGCCTTTTCTGTCATTTGCTGAAAAAACAGTAGAATTTAGACTGAGGACATTGAATGTATACAGCGACAACGAAATTAGCACCTAATAGAAGTAATAAGAAGGAAACACAGAAAGCTTCATATGAATTCAAAACACACAGTATTCGAAAACTACGGTGATACATGCATTCATAGAGCAAGAAATCTATTAAATATGTGCAACTTCTTCCTCGTCTTCCACAATTTCTTCCTCCTCGTCCTTAGCGTAAGGAACGAGCTTAGGATAATTTTCAGCCAACAGACGAGATAAAGCATCGCTTGGCTCATCATCACAATATAATGTCGACTCACATTGTGGAAGAACCTAAAGGATACGTTCACGAGATCATCTCATCAGCTGAAAAGGAAAACTTGAATTACCAGACCTGAGTAAGTATAAAGGTAGCAGTGTACGCATAAACTGTACTATCACATAGTGAACTAGATAGATGACGCAAATAATCATTCCAAAGCTCGTAGGTACATCGATCACAGGTAGAACGAGCTGGAGACCTAGAATTATAATACGAGTAAATTTGTTCTGATTGTCCTTTCACATGGACCTAAATTATATTGGTTCGTTCGGAAATTAATGCATGATTTCAACATAAATCATTCAAGTAGTTTTTGTGGACGAGAAACAAGTTTGTTTATATCAGTTGAATAAAATTCTGCTCTTATGGAACCAATTCTGGGCTTGTGAAGTCGTTGAAAGCAGTTTTAACCTTGGCGTGGTTTTTGAAGCATTTCTCGTACAGTAAGTTGTCGAGATGCTTGATGGAGTGGGCTTCCGTATGCGGGAGTTCCAGGCAAACATGGTGGATGGAGGCAGAATTTTATAGCGTAGGTCATCTAACATTTGCAGCGTCGGTAGTGAGATGTGTGGCCGAACGTTATCGTATAGAAGGATTGTGTACTTTGCGTTGACTAATTTTTGGACTCCGACGGAACTTCTGGTTGATTTCGTCAATCTACAGAAAGTACTTTTTTGGCCGTAATCGTTTTACGCTAATTCAGGAAGCAGTCATGCACCACACTAGCGGGAGACCAGCAAACAGTGAACATGGCCTTTTTCGGTGCAATTTCGGCTTTGGGAAATGCTACGGAGCTTCTTCATCCAAGCATTGCGCCTAACCGTCGGTAGTTGTCAAACATGATCCATTTCCCCCTTTTTCACATCGCACATCACAATATAGTAAGGAAATATATCGTTTTGGTGCACACAAAGAGCGCTAACGACACTTCAAGATAAATTTGTTTCTACTTGCACTCACTGTGCATGGCATCCATTTGCTGAGATTTGAGCAGCCATCAGCAAAGCAAGATCTGAACATTTGTTTAGTGCCTTCTACTACTTGCTTGGCATCCCATGGAGCCACAAAGAGCTCCAGTTCGCGTTAAGAAACAAAACTTGTCCATTCCATCTGATTTCCAATATTATGTATGAGGCAGCGTCTCCGCAATTCGGTCGGTGCGGGATACAATCATCATGGAGACAAGAATACCCTTGTACATTTCCATAAAATGTAATGTGTACAACAAGTACAAATGAATTTTGCCCAGCAGAAGCAGACAGCCAACCCAATGAATTCACCAATCTCAGAGATCCTTTTTGATAACATTTGGACCATGTTGCATCCTCTATACACTACATATGGGAACGTCACGTAGCTTCTCAAATAGATGTGGACACCTCAGTGACCTAGACCCATGTAATCAATACATTATTCTCGAGAACTAACGAAGATTTATAGCCCCAAAATACACACTAAGGAGTAGCGCGATAGTTTTTCATGGTTAGTCACAAATATTCAAAGCATTCAAAAGGTCTAACCGTCTGAGTGGCGCCAAATCCCTAGCAAGGGAATGTGCAACACGTGCAAAGTGAATTGCGTGCGGTGACAGCAAGATGGCTGCGCGGCTATCTCCTGCTACTGTCCAATCAATATTAAGACCAACATCTGATAGCTCTTCCACAAGTCGAGTGAGTGCCGATTCGGATTCTAATGCGTAAGGTCGCCACCGCTCCTCCTGAAATAGAGCGAACGTATCAGGCAAATGATGCTTACTAGAGACCACAGAAGTATGGGAAGCACACCGTTATTCGCAATTTGATCCCTTGCATAATATTGTTGAAATTTGTTTCTATAGCGGACTCTAATGCTGGAGCAAGTAGACGATGTACCTGTGTGAATAAAGTTCACATTAAATTTTGATCAATACAAATACTATGCGTGAATTGTTGTTATTAGCAAACTGTGGCCAACTAACAAAGCCGTAACTTCGTGACAGTGACGTCTATTGCTTCAAACAACTAACGAACTTCGATGAAGACGCTTTATCAGATATCACAGTTTTGTATAAGAATATGGATCAACCCCTTACAATTTACCTGTATCACCTGTCGTCCCGTTGACAGTCGAGTGACTGGAGTGTGCACCAGTAAATCTATTTTTCCTTCCCGCGTGTAAGAGTAGCCAAGTGGGTTCTGCTCGTTTTAGGGATTCATTCAGCGTCATATTCTTCTAATGTTGACGTGAAGAACTCTGAGCACCGATACGGTGGTCTTCCTGCAGTACTTTTGACATCCCGATGAATAAGGTCACTTACGACTCTTACCCATCGGTTGTCCTTCATACGCATTATGTGTACGGCCCACCTAATTTTCGACACCTTGACGTGTTGAACGCCATTTCTGATTTTTGATCGCTGACGTAGATCGGGGAATCGGATTCCTAGCATCGTCCTTTCAACTGCGCGTTCAATAACGCTGAGTGATCCTTCATCCTGCTTACGCATCGACCAGGTTCTGGTTATGTTTATATCCTGACCTAAATGGAGGTAACTAGAGCATTCGGAGATATTCATTCCGTTAGCGTGAACGGGGTAAACGAAATCAATCCGTTCCTCATGAACATCGTTTCTGTGAGATTTAGTCCAAGACCAAACCATCCAGAGCTTTTATCAAAGTCGGCAATCATTTGTTCCGCCTGAATAATGTTTGGTGGCGTAAGAACGAGTCGTCGGAAATGCAAAATGGTGTAATTTCCTACCATCGATTTTCAATCCCATGTTTTCCCATTCCAGTGTTTACATGACGTTCTCGAGCGTGGTGGTAAATAATTTTGGTGTGGTGGTATCACCTTGCCTAACCCCTCTTCTAACGTCGATATTAATATCATTGTAGAATGGTGATATCTTGGTTGTGAAATTTTTGCACAACTCACGAAGAACCTTTATGTACTGAGTAAGGACTCCCTGACTATCAAGGGCTTCCACGACTGCTTATATCCCAATTGAGTCAAAAACATTTTTTAAATCGATGAAAGTGACACAGAGCGGTCTTTTATACTCTCGGGATACTTCAGTGAGCCTTGTCATTGTGTGAATGTGGTAAGTCGTACTGAATCTTTTTGGAAACCCTGCTTACTCACATGGCTGTCTTTCGTCCAGTGTTCCGTCAACGCTGTTTAGGAGTCGAGTTAAAAGTTCGTAGACGACAGACAACAAGCAGATTGGGCGATAGTAGCCCATAACGTGAAGGTCACCCTTCTTGAACAAAACCACGGTCTTGCCGGTCTTGCACTGAGTAGCGACCTTGCATTCAGACGCAATGTGTGAAGAGCAAAGCCAGTGTGACTCATGGGTCGCTTTCCTGTCTCTCCCAGAGTAAAGGAGAATCTTATTTGTTGGAGGCACTCTTGACCGCCTCCCACATACTTTCCTGTTACCTGATTGCAGGCCTTTAGCCGAGTTGACTCATAGAATACAACTTGCATAAACGAGAACACAGCCATGCACGCATGCTTGAATGCGTCCTAGTAAGTACAGGTAGTGCCAAATCGGCGCAGCAGAAACAAGGAGTCTGGATCGACCTGCGTCTCAGAAAAGCAAAGCCCGCTTTTGTTCCTCGATTAACCTCCTATCCGCCACCAAGGAACGCGCCGAGTTCCCTCGCGACTAATTAGGACAAGCAAAGTAACATTGATGTCAAAGAATGAGAAAAATTACTCATTGGAACAAAAACAAAGATGAAAGAGAACCTCGAATGTTAACTGTATACCCATCGCCGTCAACTCATCCATGGTCTCCATTAAGATGCCCCATGTAAACGCAAGAACCGTCATCGCAGGAGCTACTTCTAAAAACAAAACAAAAGATAAGAGCAAGAATAATACAACCAACATATATACTTACAACGGTAGGACTAAGTTGACAGTTAATTTATTAAAGTATAGAATCTCTACTGGCAGAACAGTAATGTGACTACGACAAAGCCTGACAAAGGCGATGTGACAAGGAAGAACGGCACTTACCAATTACGTGCCTTCGAACAAGTGAAAGCAAGAGACTCAGTTCACCTGAACACCATTGTAGCACCTGAAATTGTTCTTCACTCGGACAATCCTATCAAGTTAGGAATTTAACCTCTTACGTAGGACATTTCTCTATACGATTCCTTTCGTTTTACGGTACCTGGCAATAGTACTGTGGTTGTGAATGGAACTCGCTAGCCACATCAGTAACTGCTGCAGAAAAAAGTGTACATAGTTGGCGGACATATGATAGCGGCTCCTCCGATACAGCAATATCTTTGACCGCCGCTCGTTGTAAGGCACTACGACGCCGAAGGTAGAGATCAATCGCGTATGTCCCTAAAATTAATAGACATGATAAAAACTTAGTTCTGGCAGAAAAACAATAAACCTCTTCCAAGCTGCGCCAACAGCGTTCGAGCTTTCTTCATTGCACGAGGACCACCATGAACCGCGCCAGGACGACGCACGTCATCGCTCAGTAGTTGAATAATCGGAAACAGCGTTGTGATAGCACCTACCTATTCAAAGCACCACCAAAAACGCACGCCTACTTGGTTTTCACGAATTTTCAGTTGTGCATCTATGTTAGGATCTTTGGTTGAGCACTGCTTCCATTCATGGATAATTTCAACTGCTTGATCGAGATCTCTGAACATTACGTACTAAAGAAACTTCAAGCACTTCTAACCACTGTGCTACATGCGTCACATACATAAACAAGTCACTGGCTTAATTTAGCACCATATTATGTATACATGCATAAATATATATACACATGTACATACACACATGTACACATACATCACACATTTATATATGTATATATATACAAATTCCGATAACTATTGGTAGTCTTAACCTTTTTATTTACTGCCTATTCTTTTTGATGGCAGAGTATGTTGCGAAATATAACTCATATAATGCTGACCGCATGGTGTGGTGGTGAACGCGCTACTCCCCGGAAAAGACAATAGCGCGTTCGTTCCCCACTGCAAACACTTGCGGTCCGGAGTTTTGCAAATATCTCAGCATTATACTCTTGAAAGTGTTTCAACAAACAGTGTTTAGGAGTTGAGATCTTAGTGAAAGTATTGAAGAGACGCCCATCTCTCTAAAGGTACAAAGAAATTTTTCCAGATATGTTTTTTCTTTGACTGACAAGCTAACAAGAGATTGTTACCAATCATATAGTCGGCTAACGCTTCGACGTCTTTCTCTTCTTCAGAGCCGATGGTCTGAGTCGATGCGCCAAAGTCGTCCGCTCTGGCGATGTGAGGTCTCCGTCGTCGCATCAAGTCGAATTTTCTTCAGTGAAGCACTATTATAAAGTAACTCCACTCTGCGATCTCCTTTTAAGATTCGACTTAATACAACGATGAAGACCTCACATAGTGAGGATAAACGACTGTGGAGTATCCACGCCGATCATCGGCTTCGAAGAAGACAGAGATATCGCGACGTTAGCCGAGTAAATGAATGGTAACAACTTCGTTAGCTCACATTATTCATACCAAGGTCAAAAGAAAGTCACCCCACAATGGTTTTTACACATACTTTTCATTTTCAATTTGTTTAAATTTCAAATCCGAAAAGTTGCTAATATAAGGTCATTTTTTAAAAAACTTTCAGCGCAAGTGTAGTATTTTTTAGGGTCCAGACAACTAGAAATTAGTTATGACAAAGTAGTTGAAGTTGTACCTTGTAGGTTAAGATCTACAGATTTTTATGAACTCATTTCAGTCATTGAAGTACTAACTGCCAAGGATGATTCGTATATAACTCGGAACGTTGCAAACATATTAATGAATACCTATGAGCCATGCAATCGTCCAATTCCGCAGGTAACTCCTGAAGCCAAGCGATCTCGTCCTGGTCTGCAGCTGTGTTATTGTAATAAAGCAAAAGGATTGTAGAACTGTACCAGAAATAGAAGTCAACTCACTTACTTCTTCTTCGGTTTCTTCAATTGTCTTTGTAGTGGCAGTTGAATTCTGTAACCGGTTAGCCCGTTCCTAAACTTAAAGTATATAGCAGAAAATAAACAAAAGGAATATTAATCACTTACTTGGACAGTGATTCGCTTGCCACGAATCGTGGACTGTCGAGCCATAATACTTTCATGCAGGATCTCCCGCTTTGCCTTTTCAAGTTCATCAAGCCACATTTTCTTGACGCGGGAGCTTTCACAACGGTAGTATCTATGAATAAAGTAATCCATCATCCTTGTTATTTAGTGGAAGTTTATGTTGACTAGGTGTTTTTGTTGCCATTTCATTTATGTTTTCTGATTCTGAAACAACTACATTGCCTTCCACTGAGCGTTAAACGTCAGATAAAAATTGGCGGGACTCTTAACATTTATGAGAAAAGTACAACTGCATCCGTATATAATTGGGAATTGGGACGAAATGTAAATTTCAATGTGGAACGTGGTAAGGCCAAGCAATTTGGTCCATATGTCTTCTGATAATAAACCAGCAGATGGACACTCAAGCAAATGCCAAGCATGAAATCGAAAAAACAGCGATACCTCTGTTCTGGGAATACCAGAAGCTTCAGCAATTGGTCGGCTACCGCAGGTCCACTTTCTCTATCCTTAACGTTCACTACTGCCAAATTTTTAAGAGAAAATGTCGACTCCAAACTGAAACAAGTTGAAGTAATGAAAAGAGTACAAAAATGAACAGGACCATGACGTGTTAGCTTACAGCTTACCTATACTTCCCGCAAGGAGTGATGTTTCCTATCAGTAATCTATCTGACAGCAAGATAAGCATAGCACGGTGAATGTCCTCTTTCGTTTCTGGATCAAGCTGCATCATTTCTCCATATAAGAGCACCTTGTCGGAAGTACGCATATTATTGAGGATGCTCTAAAAGGTAAACATCTTGTAACTTAAACCAAAGTTGAATTAACTATTTTAGAAGCGTAGAAATGATAAGCCTGAGGTGTAAAAATAACCTAGAAAAGATAAGTTCATGTGACAACCCCATACACTTCATTAATTGTTTTAATCTTCAAACGTTTCTTCAATCCCATCACTTAAGACTATAGCCTATAGAGGAAGCTGGAAGAAAGGAGGCCAAGGAACATAAAACCACAGTTTCTGCTCCATTTTATTATCCATTTTGAAAACTTGGAGAGATACTTCTTACTTCCATGTCACAATTTTGTTCACAAAAAAATTTTGGTTAATATTCTCAATATACAACAAACAGTAGCTGATAGTTAACAGCTCAAAAACAAAACTGAAATCAGAACATAAACAGCAAGCAGAAACACAGACAGCAACAACAATAGGAGAAACATCTCCTAAACCGACAGCACAATTCGTCCAGCATGAATTGGTTCCAATTCATGCATAGGCCAGAACGACTGTTTTCACTTCTAACAAACGATTCTCAGCCTGTAATAAATTTCATCAATTTAGAATATAGAAACCTCCCAACGGTTCACCACCTCACCGTGGTTGAGAGGTGTTCCTGGATGTCACGCTGCGATGTACAGCTGAGGATTCATCTACCCGGCAGGGCTTGCCAATCTGTGAAGGAGCCCGGAGCTTCCACTAAGAAGCCCAGCTAGAAGTAAACCAATACCAGAATTCACCACCGTCCTTATACCAAACTAGTCGCATGATGGCAAATCTCCCTCTGAACCACAAGGGCGGCCACTGCCTGCGGTGCTGACGATCTGGGGCGGACCTTGGCTAGGCTGGCCTCAGGACTCTAGGGAACCATAATGGCTAAACCATCAAAACTTCGAAAAATAGAAATTTTGCTGAAAAATGTAGCTTCATGAGGGGGGAAATAAATAGGATTTCGGAATCAGATGCAGACTTTCTCATCTCCGTCATTAATGTCAAATAGATATAATTCTCACAAAGATCGTGGAACGTCATAGTCTAAGCTCAAGTACAAGTCCCTAACCAACCACTTCCGTAAAATCAGTAAAACTGAAGATTCTATGAGGCTTTGATAAAACGGTGGCTTTTCCGTCTCTAATCTGTAGACATGTCGCGCATCCACCATATACTAGCATACTACTTTGCTTCTTCCGGATTCCATTACACGAAAGGTTTCGTAAAATTAAACTTACGCAACTGTCGATAACTTTTGCGCTCATTCAGTGTTTCAATTTTTTTCATCCACTACTTATAAAATATTCATTAGATTTCTACGCAAAACAATGTCCACTTTGTTTCCAATAGTTAGCTGCTCAAACAGCCGCTCACCACACATTAGTGCGAGCTTCGCCACTTTCTGTATGCCCTTCGTTAAGCCTCGAAGAACAGTACCCTATTTTTCGGCGTAGACTAAGGTGGACCGTACGCAGTGACACGCCGTCTGGGGAAAGATTTAGACGTGGTCCCATGCGCTCGTTACATGAAACCAGGGGTTTATATATGTTACTTAGCTTTAACCAAATAAACAATACTTATAGCGAAGAATTTTCTTTTTTTTTTGAAAAATCCATACCGATTGGTGTTTCAATTTAAGAAAAAGAATAAAGACACAAGAACTACTTGGCTGTTAAATACCCATACTGACCGCTATGCCATCCATTTTCTGCATAAGAACTTGGATAGGAGTAACAGCAGAGACCGGTGTAGAATGACTTGATACCGTTTGTAGCGATGACTTATCGTCACCTAAACAAGAAACTAATGCTGCTCAAGTCATGAGAAAAGGACAAAGCTCTCTGCGTTCATCAATGCCTGAGGGATGCGCCATGCATTTAATTTCATTAAGCATCGTTGGAGGCGACTGAATGCATATCTGGCCTTTACAATGACTCGCGGTGGTCTACCGATGTATCGAGTCAGTGCTGCTAACCTCCCAGCCAAGTCTGCTACCAAACTGCAGGCCCCGGAAAGATGGAAGGCTTGGAGAGCCACGGGAGCGGGATCGATCTCATGATTATTGCAGGGCGCCCGACCATTGCGCCACACACGCACTGAAATCAGAAAGGCTTAAAACAACAAACATTACCCACCTGTCATCTGCATAAGATTTTCAATAAGCAGTTTCTGGTCAAGAAGAAGTGATGATAATTGGTATATTTCTTGTTCGAGATCTGAAGCGCTATAAAAACAAATTATCCAATACATCTGTATCCAACAGCTAACACACAATGACGAAGGGCATAGCAAAAAATGACTGAGATCAGCATGACGTCACCACAAAGCTAAATTTACCAATCCGATCTTTTTTATGACAGTGACAAGAAATGCTCACATGAAATCTCCTTGGATGCATCGATGAACTGTTGATAGTTTTGGAACACGTTATTCTTGAGCATTTCCTGAGATGCACGATTGAGCGCGTTCATTTCGCTGCGCAAAGTTTGAAGCTTTTTCTTTTCATCTCCAGTGCGAACACCTTTTAGCCGATCGCGAATGTCTGAAAGAAGAGAGAAAAACATTGGGACCACTGGCAAAAAGTGGCTGTACAAGACAGCAGCAAGACAGGGACGTCCACCTAAGGGCAGATTGGATACGTCCAAACATTCAGAACCGACAAATGAAAATCATTTCAGTAGGAAGTGAAGGAATCGCAAAATAACTGAAATCGGCCGCAGCAGCACCACTCATGCTCACAGCACCATCTGATGCGTATGAGACGGTCCAAGTCAGCAACATTGATGTAATGAACTCTACTTCTTTATTAAGGTAATATTAGAATATCCTCGCCCGAAACTCACATTCGGATGGAGAAAAGCTATCAGATAAGAGCACTGTATCATCGGCGGTTGTGACGTCATCACCAGACTGCATGTCGGTAAGGAAAGCAATGACAAATTCACACAGAAATGGTTTCCCTGTAGTCTGAAAGCACACTTATCATGAAGTTGTAGTAAAAAATAATGCTAAGGAGCAACCGAAGTGCGCAGTGGCGTCCTTGAACAATCTTATACTTAGAATCAAACGAACATTTGTGAACTATTACTCAGGAAGCTTGACTCCTTGAAAGAGTTTTGCCCTACGATCAACCAAATGACAAAGTGAAGGCACGTGCTTATCGTCTATTGCAGTGGCATCGTGATCTTGGCGTTGTTCCAACTACCCACTTTTGCGTATCGTTGATCTAGGTGAACTCAACCAGGGAGAAGCTTCATCGGTTCTCCACGATCACTCTCACACTGGAGAGTATGGACATGCAATCGTCGAGCGACTCCTCCCTGCCGAAGCCGGGAGATCTCGTTTGGGCGAAGATGAGGGGATTTCCCCCCTGGCCTGCAAAGGTAGGTCAGATTTTGTCCGTTTTTTTTAATAGTTGCTCGCTTTTACAGTATTAAAATGTATGGCTTGAAGGATGCGTGTGGCGCAGTGGTTGGAAGCGCCACTGTGATACACACATGTTATCGATCCACGCGGCCCTGGCCCACCAAACCTTTCATCCTTCAGGGGTCGGCAAATTGATACCACACTTATCTGGGAGGGTAGTAGCACTGGGTCGACACATCGGTAGACCACCGTGAGCCGTTGTAAAGGCCAGATATGCATTCGATCACCTCCAACGATACTTAATGAAGTCGAATACATGGAACGTCCCTCAGAGACTGACCAACGCCGAGAGCTCTTTTTTAGGGCTTTATGGCTTGTTAGTTGTGATTTATTAGTTCTTTTGGCAATGTGTTCATTATTCTTATGTTTTAGGTCTTGGAGAAGGACAAGAACACCCCGTTGTCTCGCATACCTGTGATCTTTTTTGGTACAGGAGAAAAGGCCTTCATGAAGCCATCGGACGTTTTCGATTACTATGAGAATAAAGCACAATATGAAGTTCCGAGGAAACACAAGGTGATGTGATTTCGACGTTGCTGTGTTTGGGTTACGCATTCCTTGTCTCAAATTTTGTTTAATTGCTCAGTCTTGTCTTATTCGGTTGTAATCTAGGATACTCTAATTGTGCCTCTTTCTTTCTAGGGCTTTAATGAAGCTGTTCATGAGATTCGAGTGGCAGCAGGGTTTGAAACATCTTTCGATGCTGACCCATTCGGAGCTACCACTTCAAATAAGAGCCCTTCACCTATGCTTTCGGGAGCAATTCATGATGAATTGAAAGCTAGGTCTGGTGCGGTTAAAGTGTTATCTGATGTCTTTCTTCCTGGATTTGGAGGACGACGAGCCGATTCCGCATCGACAAGGTTTTATTGGTGTATTTATTTCTTATCGCTTTTATCTACCTCGTCCTTATTTTTGTTAGGATTATTTCTACCCCAGTTAATATTACTTAATATCCTGGAAAATTGCAATAGTTGATTACGTAGTAGAGTGCAGTGAAAGAGATATTTTCTAGGTCTCGATCAAGAACTAGTAGTTCTGCATCTGCTCTGAAGAAGCTTCATAAAGCAATGCATCGTCGGCGGATGGATAGCGGTAGTTCCGCTGGATCTCGTCGTGTGAAGGGTCTAGGAGGTTTCGGCGATCGCGGACTTGATTTCTTTGATAATTTCCAGGTGGTTCATTTTCGAGCTCATTCTTCTATCAATTTTCTTATCGATTTCTGGCTCGCAGAAAGTTAAAATGATTCATTTTAACTGGATTATGATGAATGCTGAAGGGAACTATGACATTTTTTATTTTCATGGCTAAGTGAATAAGTGTATATGGTTGAAAAAATTGGGAATTAGGTTACAAAACGTCAATGTGACAGTACTGGCGGGGACTGCTGTGACAGTTCATCCAGATTGTCAGAGTATGTTTTCATTCTGCCGCTTGCAAAGGCACGACACTCGTTTTCTTCAAAGGTTGAAGGAATATACTTCAATGAACGAGCGGATGGAAAACTCATCACGACGTAGACGGTGTGGAGACGCATGCTGATTGTCTTTTTGAACTTTAGGAAATCCGCAGATATTCCGAAGAAGACGCAACATACCGCTGAAAAGTATATCATCTAATTGAACTAGTCTGGTCATAGGTAAGTGTATTCCTAGTGGCTATCGTGTGATCTATATGCTTATGGATAGCAAAACCGAGGAAAGTTTTCCAGCTTAATGCTTTCGTAGAATGTGGGTGTTAACCAGCAAAATTCTATTTGCTTGTATGAAAGAAGACTGGGAGATTATTTACAAGTATACTCACCTCGCGACAAAAAAAGTAACGAACAAGTATATTTCAATCTCTGTTTAAATTTGCTGTTTTTCAATAATTTTTCTTGCAACCATTCGATGCTTACTTACTTGGAGACTTAGATGCCCTATCTTCACTGGTTGTGCGGGCCCTAGCATAATCCTCACTTTTTAAGATTTTCTGGTTTAGCTATTGTGGTTCCGTTGTCTCGAGGTCGGCCTAGTCGAAGTTTTCTCCAGGTCGTTACCACTACTGGCAGTCACCGACCTTGTGGATGAGAGGGAGATTTGCCACCATGTGACTAGTTTGATACCAGAATGGTCGTCGATCATGGTATTGGTTTACTCCTAGGTTTTCTGAAGGAAAAACCAGACTCCTCACTTTGGCAGACCCCACTTGTGGATGGATCGCCCAGCTGTATATTGTAGTCCTACACCCGGGAACACCCAGCCACGATGACGCGGTGAACCGTTAGGATTCGATAACTTGTCGTATATGAAACTTCAACTTCTTAGTTCAAGTTCTCCACAACTATATTTTAGCTTGAAGTAAATTGTTTTTTTTTTGACTGTTTATTTCCATCCCTTCACAATTACAGAATTTGATTGTTTCAAGCTTAGTTCGACATTATGTGTACATCTCATAGTGCTATTGTTCAGACCCTGGATGGAACGGACTTTAATGTGTTGGATGATGAAGTGAATCTGCTAGCTAATGACGATGCTAGGTCGAACCGATCGAAAAGGTCGCATACTTCTTCGAAACTTTATGATGATTTATTGTTCAATGGTTTCTCCACAAGAACTCGAAACAGGTCGGGAAGTGCAAGCGATGCCGGCAAAAGAAGCAGGTACCTTTTCCACTGCGAATTTCTCCTTTCGGTTCTGTTGCTTATAATTTTTCTTCTATTATTTTATGATTCCATGTGGTATATATGGTCATCTATCTCATCCTTCTAGATGTTCCTTCGGTAATGTTTGTAGTCCTATTCAAATACTTTAAGTACCTTGTTTTACCTTTTATTTTCTGCCTACTGCAATTTTCACGGCGAAATATTTCGCCTAGTACCCTGCCGTGAAAATTGTAGTAGGCAGAAAATAAAAGGTAAAACATTGTGATTTCAACTACAGTCTCACCTTAATTGGGTTCAATGCCGATGTGGGCTCCCCAGATCAATCCCGTTGACGGGTGATTGCTGATGGCGCTGATCGACAGAACTAGCTGAGAGACAGGCGAAACGAAAGACCCGCATGGAGCGGTTGTGAACGCGTTACTCCCCGGAAAGGACAATAGCGCGTTCGTTCCCCACCATTGACACCTGCGGTGCAGAGTTTTGCAAATATCTCAGCAACGCTTAAGTACCATGGTTATTGAACTCTTTCTGAATTTCTTTTTTTTAGGTTGATATCAGGTGTATCTGATGTTTTTGATGAAATCACGTTCAATGGGGAACTTAATTCGCAAGAAACAGCCGAACAGTTCCTGCATATGTTGGAGGAAATCCCTTCGGGAAGTAGCGAGGTGACTTAGTGAAGCTTAAATAGTAATATCTTACTATATTCGCAAAAGTATGTATTTATTTCAATGTGCATATCAAAAATAGGGTTGCCATTTCCAACAAACTTTTTGTAATTTGATAAGAATTTTATCAATTCAAGTACAAACTGTAAGTATCTACAGGTTACTGTGCATAGAGTAGAACTTTTCTTATTCCACCATGTTGAAATTCTGATTTTCAGGACCATGAAAAACTTTTTCTTGCCAGAGACCATATTTCTAACAGCGAAACGATTTATAAACCAAATTTTGAATGGGAGAATTCGATGATGACTCCAAATAGGTTGTTAGTGCTTATGGCTTAATTTTTGAAGACCGACCTTGAAGTAATTTTGAAATCGTGGTAACGTTGAAGAAACATTGCCATTAGAACGGTGGAGCTCATCCCTTTCCAAAACTCTACTACGTTCTAAAGAATTCTAGTGCTTCAGTTCTTGAGAAATTATTAAGTATTGAAGAATATCTCGGTGAGTTTCTCCTGCTAGTACGCTTTCAATACTAAATAGGTAAAATATAATAGAAAGGCTTTTATTCGCTTTTGTCATTCATCGTGTAAGGTCAGAAAGACCGAGACACTCCTTTGGTGCCGGTCAATTTCTTGTATTCATTTGGTTATTCTTACTGTTTATGCACTTCTTTATAACATACTTAGAAGTACATTCGTACACTTACAAATCGTTTACTTGTTTTCAGGGAAGACCTGGTACACCAGAAGCTCCTGCACCTCTTCTCAATCCCGCAGTTTTCTGTACAGCTTGTGGTTGTGAATGCAAATCTCACGATGGGAGGTGGAGGTGAAAAAGCACATCTGTTTGAGATAACTGCGGTAATATTTCATCAATTTGTAGGTGTACGTCAAAGTTCTGCAGAAAAGTGAACGATTCCCCTAGCTGTCGTGATAGTAAAAGAGGATCTGATCACTCCATTTCCACCACTGCATCCAGTACCAGCAGTTCGTCCAAGACCGAGGTCAGTGTTGACCAGAAGTTTTTTCGCAATAAAACTCAAAACCTGTGCTCTGCGGACTTAAAGCATATTGCTTCCACTCTTCACATTTCTGTGGTTAATGGGGTGTTTTTTTTTCAGGAAGAGTTAAAAACTAATGTTGATGTCTTGGTGAAAGAGGAAGAGTGCGATACCATATATCCTTCAGTGTTATTATCAAATTCCATGTTACGTAACAGTGAACGTGTGCGCTCTCCTCCAAGAAAGAGAATCAAAAAAGAGGTCTGTTGGTTGCAAAATGGAAGAATTTGACGCCATAGCAGTATTTATGAGGAATTTCCACTGTTTTTTTTATTCATTACTTTGAATCACTTTTGATTTATCGTATTCTTCTTTGAGGTCTATGGTTGAAACCTCTCTTTTTCTTAGCTAACATGGTGAAGGGTAACCCTCCCAACGGTTTACCGCCTCATCGTGACTGGGTGGTGTTCCGGGGTGTTGGGCTGCGATGTACAGCGGGGGATTCATTCCCTTGGCAGGGTCTCCCAAACTGAGGAATCCGGTGTTTCCATTAGGAAGCCTAGCTAAGAGTAGAACAATCCCAGCATCCACCACCGTCCTGCTCTCAAACTGGCATGGTGAAAAATCTCCCTCTGATCCACAAGAGCTGCGACTGCCTGTGGTGGTGACGACGTGGGTCAGACTTTGCCCTGGTTGACCACGGGCCTCCAGGTAGCCACAGTGGTTAGGCCAACAGAACTCCTAAAAAGTAGAGATTGTTATGCTGGGGTATGCACAACCGAGGACGGACCGTGCAAGTATCCATGTATGGTAATATTTTTTTGGATAATGGATTACGACTGTGTAAAGGAACTATGTAACACTTTGATTTAGAAATTTATTTATCAAGCATCATGTCCAGTGGGCCCAAACACCTATTATGCTTTATTATTGCGAATGGTTTTAAATTATGAGGTGTCGTCTAATGCTCTTGCAAATTTCCTCCACTTCTAGGTTTCCTTTATTTCCAATTATTTTCAATTGTGGGTCGTGTGTTAACGCCATTTCAACTATTATATTACCACTATTTGCAACTAATTCGAGTCAGAATGAGTAATTATAAGTTATTCGCCTAATTTTTCACCAGATCTCCATCGAAGGATAATGTCTTTTAGGAAACTGCGGATAATAACTGTCCAGTGCCGTCAGTAGGACTGAAATCTGAGGAAGTCGGTATCCTGAATTCACGATTTTGTTGCATTTCTATCCGATCTTGTTAAGAGATCCACTCCAACTCCTCCACGAGAGATGTCGTTAGTTTCGCCAATACTGCTTTCGTCAAGGAGTATTACGTCAAATTATATGGCAAGCACTATCAAACAAAAGAGAAACTTGCGAGATGCAAAACGACCGAGACAGTAGTATCTTTTTTTGGTTGAAATGTCTATACAACTTCCTTTTGTATGTACACATATATGTATATGTATGCATATATAAGTACGCATATATCTGTACATGGTTTATGTGATCTGTCTACATTTTTTGCAGCAAAGTTGAGAAAACGCCGGCAATAGGTGCGGACGGCCATCGAGAATGCATATTTTGCAGTGGTCAAGTTCGACCACAAATGTGTGGCAGCAACAGACACAGGTGTTTTTTCTTGTAGATTTTCTCAGTGTGATGTTTATAGTAGCACCACATTAAAGATTTAATATTGCAGATGGCGCTGTGTTGATAAGAAGTGTCGAAAGTGGTATGGTTGGGTTAAAAGTAATGAAGAAATCCCGAAATACGTTAACAAAAAGGGGAAGAAAAAAAGATATGGCAATCGTTCAAAGAAGGTGCTTTCAACCAGTCGTAAAGAGAAAGAAGAGGATGACACTGGTATGCAGTGTTTTCCACTATTTAATGTCTTTCCTTCAATTCAAGTTGTGTCTAGGACCAGCATCGTTATCCTCACAAGCTGAAGCCGCTTTAGCAGCAGCTGAAATTCAGTCAATACAGAGTGATGCTACTACTGACGCATTGACAGTAGTTGTAGAAAACAATGTACAGGTATTACTTGTAATTACACGAACGGAATCCAGTGCATCTAATGTGTGGTGTACCTTATAAGGAAAGGAAAAAGAGACTTGGGCGCCCTCCAAAAGAGCATGGGCTAAAAATACGGCTGAAAGGAGTAAAGGAAAGGAAGGAAGTGAGTAATAAACGCGATGATTTATATACATTGCGCATCCATTAAAACACTTACGAAAAAACTTGTGCTGTTTTTTCATGTTTTCAGGAAACTCGACAGAATCGTAAGCACGTGTGGCGCAACGACATAGTTTATAACAGCAATAAGTCACTCAGTCGTTCAAGTGAAGAAAAGAAGCCATCTTGCAATAGTCATGATTTGCTTTGTAACTTTTAAAATTCTTTATAATTTTTGAATTTCTTAGGTTTGCTGCCTCTTACAGAAGAAGAAAAGAACTTCGAACCCTGTGGGATCGAGAAACGAGTTAGATGGTGGTTGAGTGAGAAGCGAAGGCTTGACCCTAGCCCTGAGCGGTGCGCTTTGTTAGATTTTCACAGACAGCTTAGGCTATATTGATGTGAAGACTATTTCTAGCTATCAATGTGCAGTTAATTCCTTCGTTACCTCTGAGGTATTTCGAAGACCATAAAATTTTTGTTATAGGTCATTCGAAACAAACGTGATAGATTCATGTGCCGCCTTTCGAATGCTATCACAAGCGTTTAGAGCGGCAGCAGTAACTCGGTTTGTACAGTATTCTTCTTGACTTGTTTTGTGCCTCTTCTCTTTCTCTTTACTACTATTGATACCATCTTATTGATATTCTGTTTTACTTGGTATTTAAGTTCAGACTGTGTTTTTTTAGTGCTGATGAAGCCCAATCAGTAAGTGGTGCGCTAGACATGTTAATGGATTCCCTCATGGGTTCTTTCGGACCTCTTCTTACAGTGGCATCTGTCGCTTTCAAAAACCTGGTGAATTTGTTTTTATTTTTAAAAGGGATTCTACGTGAAGTGTAGAGAATATGGGTTTATGACATAACCGAATTCTAATAGTGTGCCTTTTTAGTAAGATGTTTCAAACAGGTTTTATTGATTGCTCGTGGCACCAATTCGAAGCGAACAAGCAGATTTTTTGACTTTATAGATCCCTGATGACCTCTCTCAAATACTGTGGAACTCATCGGCTGTTCATCTTCCAACTTTCCAATAGTCATTACTTCACCGAGCTCGGCTGTCCAGGTTTCATCTCACAGGTGTTCTACCTGTGAATGGTGATTGCATGCCCATAGAATGAGACTATATCATATCGATAATGGATCTACTTTACTAAGAACACCCTTGTTACATAGCTGTTGTTACGCCATCATTTTTGACTCACTTTATTTTTTGCTTCTCCTAAATTCTGATGATCTCATTTTTTATTGTTTTGTAAGCTTTCCCTACGCTTGTTGAATTGACCTTTATATATATATATATATATATATATATATATACATATGTACATACACATATGTATATGCATATATAATATATACCACATTTAACATCACCATTTTTATTATTGAACTTACTGTGCTGTTATAAATTATGTATTCATGTTTATATTTGCTAATGAACTTCTATTATAACATTATGATTTGTACAAACAATGGATAATCTCATCATTCTGGCGAAGCAGTGTTCCTGGGTATAAAGGTGTGATGTGTAGACGTAGATTCGTTCACCCAAAATGATCATTCAGGCTAACGAGTTCGAAGTTCACATATGGATGCCAGGCTAAAGGTAAACTGACCTAAGGGAAATCCCGGCTCCTTGCCGTAGTGGAAAGGGCCCAATTACTAGGCAGAAATCCTCTTTTTGAAGAGGCGTCGACTGATCATGGTAAAGAAATAAGGAGCACATTGAAAGTCTATCTAGAGATTCCTGAGATTATAGTTGGAAGCATTCTGGATTGATGTTCAAAATGTCTAGACTACACCTCGGAGCTGAATAGGAGCGAAGGCCTTTCTCTTGTTATGTGGATGTAATTCCGTTTGCGTTTCATCAGACCGTGACCTTCATGTTCAACATTTCGGGGTTCATCTCTTTCATGGAAAGATCCTTTTCTAAAAAGCGACATCCGCTGGACGTGAGACTGCCAAAATGGCACTCCTAATGTGGGGATCGATCTCGTCCACGTGAATGGAAGGTGGAATCAATTTGAGATTAGTCTCCTGTCATCCGTTTACTGCAGACCAGTTCTCCAGAAAGCGTGGACTTGACGGAAAGGGTCATAGTGCTGTTAAATAGTCTCTGAAGCTTGCTAAGCAAGCTCTTTATAACACAAAGACAAACCGTGAACCTTTACTAATCAATAGTAATGAGCTTCTGGAAACAAGATACGAACTGGTATTGTTGCAGCATACCCTAAAGGAATGCTCACCAACGCTTTTGCAAAAAGGCAGTACTGGAGAATCTCCATTGATTTCGATAGCCGAGGATTCTGAAGCCAACAAAAGAGAAGAAAAACAAATGTCAAGATCGTCGCTGATAGAAAATTCTGTTTTCTGCTCTACGCAACAAAGACAGGTGAGCTACAATTCACGGCAGTAAGGTATAGTCCATAGCAGGGAGACTATGGAAATCTCGATCCACAAGACCTGTATTACACCTTACCGTCTCACCTGCAGAAATACCTCCTTCACTAATTTTCATGGAGGCTCGAGCTGCAATTAGAAGTTTAAAGCTTTCCGCCGCTTCTGGACCATTTAATTTTTCGGCCTGTTTGCTACGATCACCAATCATGAAGTTTGCGTGTTGGTAGAGTGGCAGTTCCTCTAAACTCTTTATTTCGCTGGCGACAGCGGATTTTCAAACAGTGTGGCAGAAGAAGAAGCGATGTTTGACTCAACATTCAAGAAGAAAATAGAAAAAGCCAGGAAAAGAACAAGAATCAGAAGAAAGTTTTTAAAAAAACATTAAAAACTGTTGGTGGAAAGGCGGAGGGAGTGACGGGTTGTTGTCTTGCATGGATAGATTATTAACTAACGTCTTAAGAAAAACCCGGTTATAAGGTAAGAAACTTCCTAGATCTCCACATTGGTATGTGACTGCGTAAAATGAAGACTTGAGATCAACTTCGCACGACTATCATGAGATCCGTTGGGAAATTGCGGTTGATTAACATTCATCATCTCAATGAGAAAGGACACGACACATATAAGGCGGCTGTCGACCCCACATATACGTGCACCACTACTGATAACAATTAGAAGAAAACGGAACGAATTAAAGAGGTGCTAGTTCTCTCACACTATCACCTGCTTCACCTGTGTCCTGTTGATCGTCCAATGACTTGAGCGAGCCCCAGTAAATCTTCCATTTTTTTCTGTCGCGTGCAAGAGTAGCCCAGTGGGTTCTCCTCGCTCTAGGGACTCGTCGAGCATCATATCTTTCCTCTACGCTTTTCGTGAAGAACTCTGACCTTCGAGTCGGTGGTCTTCCTGTAATGCGTTTAACATCCCGAAGAATCCAGTCACTAACAGCTCTTTCCCATTGGTAACCGTTCATACGCATTACGTGTTCGGCAAGCCTCGACAATTTGGCGAATAGAAAGGCATCTTTGATCTTTGATCGTTGACGCAGATCGCAACTTCGGATCCTTTCCTTTACTTGTGTGAAAAGGATACTCCCAGCATCGTCCTTTTGACTACGCGTTCAATAACGATGACTGGTCTTTCATCCTGCTTACGCAGCGACCAGGTTTCTGGTGCGTACGTTGTGGCGGAAAGAATCGTGGAGTCGAAAAGGTGGGCATGGAGTTGTGTGTTTTTTATTCCCTTCACTATTTCCTCTATGTTCCTAGAAACTCCCCAAACCACTCGTTTCCTGCTGCTCAACTCTGGAGCTATGTCATTCATCATGTTGATTTCTCGACGTCTAGCGAAGCACAGACAGCGGAGCTCAACGAAGCGGGAAAAAAGATCGGACTACGCATAAATCGGTACAAGAGCCAGTTCATGAAAAACCCATGGTGCGAAGGTGAACAAGTTGAACTGTATGGCTGATTGCAGTGAACACAACGTAAGTATACCTTGGGCGATCACTGAACATAGAAAACAACATGAGGAAGAATTAGACATAATAAGGAGAGCAGCTTGGGCCGCATTCGGGCCTCTCAGAGAACCCACCGACGAACTGAAGGAACCGAAAATCCGCGCTCATCTCTTTGATTCTACGGTCCTCCCAGCTCTCTGTTATGCTGCGGAGACGTGGGAACTACGTCGAGAATGCTTCGCACTACTCACAGAGCGCTTGAGCGGTGTCTTCTGAAATATAACCAGCACTGCCACTTAGTGGAAACCTTATAGAAAGCGGTGAGTGTGCAAAGCTGTGTTCAAAGTGATTGAAATCTTGGTTTGGAGTTTCTT